ACATTCTTCCAGTTGCATTTTATTAAGAAACTCAGTTAATTATATCAGAATAGATTTAAATATTTTGTTAGTAAATATGTTCAATTTAACATGAAGCCAATAATTTTTAAAATGTATGTGCCAATATAATAAAAAATGCATAATTATTTAAAAGGAAGTGATTGTTATCATAAAAAATATACTTATCACCCATTTCTTTGTTCTTCCATACTGAGTACTATAATTTGGATCATATAATCACTGGGTATATGAAGCTTGCATTTGGCTTTACCAAACATTAGCTGAAATGAAACTATGCCTGAAATAACTGGCTCAGTCACAAATAGGAATATGGACTGGCAAAGTGATCTTTCAGGTTAAGTAAGATTCCAAACCCTACTTCCCTTTTCTTCCTCTCCAAGAATTTCTATAATATCTAAAATACATCCCTTCATGCCCTAATAAATTTATTATTTTAATCATTTAATTTTTTTTTCAGGAGGAAGGATGTCTGTGTTTCATTTCATTGTGTTCTCTCATTTCAATGTGTTGGGTCCTGTCAGTGAGGGAGATTTAGGGTTCTTGCCTTTGTGATTCACTTGAGTAAATGAGTAATAATATCTTAATTTTATATTAAGGTATTGATAAACTTATTAGCCTCAACAGCTGGAGGAAAATTTACTTCTCTTGATTTCAGTACTGGACTGAGAGATTAAATAAGAATATATATTCTAAAAATGCTCTGCTTACATTTGCCATTAGGCATAAGAACTATTAATGTCTCCTCGTTGTTATTGCTGTTGAAAGCCATATTTCAGGATACCACCCTGATATATGGATATGGATAGCTAAGTCAATTAATACAGGTTTTCACTATATGGTTACATGAAATGTTTGTGACAAGGACACTTTCTTAATGAGTTTACTGGAACTTTGTGTGTCTGCTGCTCCTTATTTATATTAGAATCTAGTAAAGGCAATATCTATTAGCACAGAATTTAAGTGTTTGCCTTTTATTGCCTGATATATCTTCTTGCTCTGCAGAGAAAATAACTCTTCTGTTTTTTCCTCCATTTAGGTAATCACTAAGTGTAGGAAATTGGTTTTGTCCACAAGACAGCAAGGTATTTGAATATATTAGTAACAGAGAATGTAATTCAAGGTTAGATTTTGTTGCACCATTTGAGGTTCTGTAGTTGCTTGTTTTAGTGATAATGAGATGGGCTGAATCCTAGACAGTAAAAGGAGTCAAGATTTCCCTCAAAGAAAGCTGTTTGTCTCCTAATATATTTTCTATACTCTCAAATGCACGTCAATCCAGTGAGCAAAATAAAGCAAAGAAAACAAAATAAAAACTAATTTGCCAATTTTTTTACATTTCCCCTTTTTGTTTTGGGACTTGGGGAATTTTCAAGCAATATATGATTCTGTACCCTCTGTAGTTTCTCTTTCATCACAATTCTGACTACTTAAATCTCACCTGCATATTCAGTCTTGCTCATTCCAAGGACAAATCTTAACTTCAGTAGGAACAATTTCAAGAACTCAGAACAATTATTAAGCATAAAATAATAATATGGCTTATTGAGCAAGAATTATGTTGGTGGCTTTATATATTCTCAAGCCTCACATGGACCCTACACATACAATATCATTTCCCCAAAATGCACACATAAAGAAAGTTTTCCTTAATTATCCATTATGTGCATTTGAAAACATTGAAAAGACATCAAGGCACAAAATAGGGATATATTTCATACAACAATGTATGAAGATGGATGTCTATGGCATAGTCTTTAAGAGATAAGGTGTACCTTCAAATTTTACTTTGTAGATTTAATTTAATTTTTTATCAAATAAGATACTATAATTTAGTAGAAAACAAAAACGTTATAAAGAAAGGTTTCTTCTATGTCACTTCTATTATACCCCAATTTCCCAAACTTCTTATTGTTCACTACTATAGAATGATGACATGCTAAGCCACCTATCTTGCTCTGTTTGTACAACAAACATGTTTTATTCTATAGAGTAGAATAAGGTTACTTATACCAAAGACTCCTATACTTCTTTGACGATTTCGAGCCAGTGTTTATTCCTGATCTTCACTTTTTGAACCTGATCTTAATTCATTGATAACTTAAATGTCAGTGTTTACAAAGCACTATGAATTTCGGCCAGAGTGTTTTCCTACCCTTGATGCTGAGTGTACAGTACGGCTTGTATTTGGCTAGTTTTACATCACCATGTTGACCAAATTATCCTCATACAAAGAGCATTAGCATCTTATTATTTAGGGCTGTTTGGTACAGACTTTTTCCTATCATACCAAAAATGATTGGACTCTCAGAATTCTGTGGTCTCAACAACATAAATGAAATAACAGAAAACAAAAGCAAACTCAAGAGAGGATATCCCCTTGGTGATTAAAAAATTATTTAAACAGATATTTGTTTTCATCTGTATTTTATACATTGGATTATATATATATACACATATATAGGCACTGAAGATAAAATTACTACTTGAAAGCATTGTAGGTATAGTCACTTACTTTTTACCTTGACCTAGAGTAAAGCTGTCTACAGCAGGCTTTGCTTCAATAAGAAATGTTATTGAGGCCTTGCTGAATTCATACTATAATGTGACACCAATATAGTCATGTTTGATCTTCCATTGTTTTGTGGAAATTTGCATTACAAATTTTAATTGATAATTATTCCTGGTCAATTATTGATGATGTCAGAAAAGATTTCTTGATTAACCAATAACAATGGTATGAAGAATGGACAACTCAAAGTGACCCATAATCTTATTGACATTGATTTGTCAGGTGAGAAACAGACTTTGATCATAAAATGGTAGATTCCTTAGCCTTTCTGATATTTTACAATTAAAAATAGTTATGCACTTTTTATTCATTTGGAGAAACAGCCTTTCATGATGAATGACATAATATAAAAAAGAATTTAGAGAAAAATCACCATTCTTTTTTTATGTAATTCTAACTTATTTGTTTGAAAGCCTAAGGCATAAATCAAATACATATTTTTTAGAGCATGCTATTTTTTCATTATGCACTTAAAATTCATATATTTTATAGTCTCTATTTGTATGTAAATCATAGGGCTTATTAACAGTTTTTTTCTTTGCTGTTCTCACAAACGTGATTGACAGTAGCTTAGCGCCCTTGAGTAACCTAGCAACAAGGTTTCTTACTCTATAGCAAGTAAGAAATGGATGCAAACAAAGTGCTATGGGAAAAAGAAAAGAGTTCAATTTCAGAATATTTGTGCATGTATACTATTAAAAATCACAATGAAATCTAATTTGGGTGAAATTGTTTGAAAATAGGTATTGAATTTCCTAGTAAGTAATATATTGCCAGTGAAATCTTGTCTCCTTCATTCAGGAAAAAAAAAAAAAAAGGTCTATTTCAGACTGTACCACTGTTGACTAGGTTACTGAATATATGTCTTCCCTAGCAGCCTATTCATTATAGATTAGATGAGGAGAGTGTCTGGGCATGTTTTCACTATGTGGTAGATGAGTTTACTAGATGGAATTTCAACAGTAAACCTTCGTGACAGTGATGCATTTGCTAATCCCTTAAATAGTTTTAGAATAAATGTTTTGTCTTATTTTCAAGGGGTTGCGCTGCACTTTTGGGGGGTCAATTTCTTGGAAATACCACATAAGATTCCACCTTGTGTTTTACATGTTAAAAAGCTGATATATTTAATATCTCTTTTGGTGAAATTTAACTTCTATAATTGCTGTTTATTTTCAATGAGAAAATAACTCTTTTCTGTTTTAATTGTAAGGTCATAATGGAAGTGTATCAGGTATTGGGAGAAAGCTACAACTTCACAGGATCATTATATGATGAATAGACTCAGGTGGGAGGGGAAACACATACTGGTGAATACCTTCCGTTAAATAGCACAGCTTTTATTTTGTGCCAAAGGCAGAATTACCTGGCCTTTCTCAATCTGACAGGAATCTTCAAGAAATCTTAGAGCCTTATGAAAGATTGAAGTAAGGGACAGCAGGATGGGATATGAGCTGGACATATGATTGTGCATTTAAAATGAATATATAGAATTGTAAAACTAGAAAGCATCCACTCTCTGGTAGAGATCCCCCCCCAGATAACCCAAGTTTTGGTTATTTTTAAAATCTAACCTTAAATGACTCGGATTTTGGCTGTAATCATGACTGGGTGTGAGTTCAACATCAATATCTTCCTCTCACTATCCTCCCAAATCTCTCATCCCTAGGGAAGACCAGAACTAAAATCATGATATCCTTAAGGAGAGGGACAAATATTCTCACCTAAATAGTCTGATTTTATCTGTATGTGAAAAGTTTGGTCACTTACATGATTTGGTTTGAAGTGAATCAACTGTAAATAAATGAAAGGATATCCTTTACATGAGAAAGAGTTCCCTGTCCTTGAAGATATCTAGCTACAATTGGATAGACCAGTTGCATAGAATTCATACCCCAAATGTCATTATAGAATAATTGGTCTACATGTGATGATGCTACTGGTAACAGCTATAGTCAGTGACTAATTATTCAGGAAAATGACATTTCAGATGTGGCATATGCACATTAACTTCCCCTTTCAGCATAGATGTCTCAGTGGGGTCATACTCTTGAAAAAATATCTTCATTTTGGGAAGTTGAGTTCCTAGAGGGCAGGGATGATCTTATTTGTGATTTTATCCAGTATCTACTATAGTATTCTATACAGTGTAAGCTTGAGACAAATGATTAATCTTTTTCTTTACAATTAGAGTTTGTGTGTATGTTAGAAAGATCTGTAACAACCACTGAAATTATACTAAAATAACCTAAACTACATAATATGTGTTAAAAAGAGACAAAATTAAATAATATATGCCCTTAGGAGAGGAAATAAAGTTTAAAAATCAACTATAGACCGAACTTAATTACCATAAAATTCCTGTTAAATTGTGAAGTTGATCTAAAAAGAGCTGTACTTGTTATTGCAGGTTTGGTTACAGAAGTACGGCTACCTTCCACCGACTGACCCCAGAATGTCGGTGCTGCGCTCTGCAGAGACCATGCAGTCTGCCTTAGCTGCGATGCAGCAGTTCTACGGCATTAACATGACAGGAAAAGTGGACCGAAACACAATTGAGTAAGTAATGGCATCAGCACTCTTTTTTTCTCAGCTCTTGAGCCAAACTAAGTGGTCTGAAAAACCCTTAGTGAACTCCACCAACCACAAATGGAATGATATTTCTCATGAATGTTTCTTTGGAACTTAATCTATGTTAACTCCACTCCCCTGAAATTTCATAAAAAATTAAAACACAAAATTAAGTTTATTCACCTGGACTTAAGCAATACATTTTCAAATTAGGAAAGAAAATACCAACAATGGGAGTTAAAGTAGATGTACAGCTGAAGCCACTACTAGAAGAGTGGTGATAAGTGATGTGCTGGAGCTGGATTGTATGGCTGGAGGGAGTTGTGTGTGCACATCTCTTTCCCTAAATGATATCACAGCAGTAGCTTGAAATTGGCCAAAGTCAAAATATTGAAACCGAGGAAAATAGGAAACTGCAAATCAGGCTCTGTTTTTGAGGGGGAGGGAATCAGAGAGCCAGTTAATAGCTTACTAGCGTTCTGCTAGTGACAATTCTCATACTAGTTAAATCAAGGGAAGAGTTTTCACTGAAAAGTCTGTGCTTTCAATCTTTTAGTAACAAAGGACTTATTTCTACTCTTTAATAATATTTGTTATTTTATTTATTGTTTTATCAATCATATGTTCATTTATTTATTCAACCAGTCACACTTTACTGGGCATTTTATCTGTGAAAGAGGCATATACAGATCCAAAAGACATAGTCTCTTCTTCAAAGGAACTTCAAGTTAACTGTGTAGCTAGACACAGTCATAAATTGTTTTACCACAAGTACACTATGAAACAGCATTATTGTTTCTAGACAACAAAGGAGGAAATGATTAATTCTTTTAGTGCAGGGAAGAATTATTTGTGTTCATTGAGTCTTTGATACTCAAAAGTAAATCTACTTCAGCATTTATAATGATCAACACACATTAAACCTACACAATAGGGAAGATAAGAATACATTTTTCTCTCCACTTTTTCAAGTAGAAAACTGAAAGTCAAAGGCTAGTTGAAGTCCAGATTAGTTTCAGAGTCCAGATTTTTTGACATTTACTTGGGGAAGTTTCCACTATACCATGCTGTGTACCTTTGAGAAATGACACATTTTTCTTAAATACCTGAAGTGCCTGGACTCAGGAGTATATAATTAATTCTTACATGTTAAACTAATTTAATATATAATTTTAAAATTCTATTTTGCCTTCTAATACTTAAAGTATGATGTTAGTCATACTATTTCTATTTCATCAAAACAGAAAAAAACATATAACAATGGCTTGAAGATTAAACAGTTTTCAAGCAGTTTGAAAAACTAAATTGGGATAGGGAGGGTGGGAGGGAGGGAGATGAAAGAGGGACGAGATACGGGGACATATGTATATGTATAACAGATTCACTTTGTTGTAAAGCAGAAACTAACACACCATTGTAAAGTAATTATACTCCAATAAAGATGTTAAAAATAAATAAATAAATAAATACATTACCTCTCCTAACATTTTTCATAGATACTTAAATATTGAATTTGATTTGAGTCTGTGAAAACAGAATGAAGAATTAATATAATGCATTCTGTGAGAATGAGAAACCTGTTAATATTGGGAATACAATTTTGATATTTTGGATCTACTGCCCTGTAATCATCGCAATTCTCTCTTAATAGTATACTATCAAAAGTTCATTTTAAGTCATAAGATACCTCTTATCCAAAATAAATATAGTGTTAAATTAATAAGCAAAACCTCCAGCAAGCCCTGTGTTTCATTGCTGTGTACAATACAGAACTCCATTTATATTGTACTCTTTATCCCAACAACTTAAAAAGCGCTCTGGACAAGCTTTCTTGTTCCCTAACGCAGAGCTGATACCTTCTAATTCACTTTTTTGGAAATTATGACATAGTTTTTAAAAATACAATAAATGGTGACTTGGGAAACAAATTATTTTAAATATGCTTATTACTAGATACTAAAATTGAGAGAGTGGAGTCCTATAAAAGGTGTCATTTGTGTTTCCCCCCACTTTTGAAAGCCCCTGCTAATCATTGAAAAGACTCAGGATGGATAAGTTTGATTCCCTAAAATAGCTAGAAAAAGGTCTTTGTCAGGACATAATGGAAGAGGAATGTGTGCAGGATTTATTTGGACCCTTCCTGTGGAAAGGGGTCTGAACAGCAGTATGAAGTAAAAAATGCAGAGGTGCAGAAAAAGACACGGGTCTTTTCCTGGCATACAGTGGCTCAGATTACAGACCAAAAGAAAGGAATGTGTCAGTGTGCAGGTGTTAAAGTAACATTTCTGTGAGCTATAGCATTATAAAGAAAAGATCAACTAAATAAGCAGCCTTAAATTTAAAACCAACCAGTTTTTCTGCTTGCTTTTTGTTTTTTTTCTTTAAAAGAGTTTTGTTCTAACTCAGTTATTTTGAAATTAAAAATGCATCTTTCTCTTTAAAGAGAGTGTTACACTTGGTCGTTATTTCTATGTGAACCCATTAAAGCCTTGTTGAACCCTGGTCCTTTCCCTTCCTAGACTGTGATGCCTCCTCTGTCCTCTGTGTCATTCTCATTGTCACTCATACTAGAAACCCTGCTTCATACTAGAAGCAGCTTCATTTGCTTCCTGTCTGTTTTTTTCCACTGATGTATCCCCAGTCTTGGGGTATTGTTGCTCAGGGTACTCAGCTCAAATTATGTACCATTTTTGTAAGTGTAATCCCTATAATCATGCTACTTAAGCAATTTTCTGTGCTTCTGTAATATTAAATGAATGTGTGGTAACAATCCACGCTGAAATTGCATTCTATTATTTTACATAGTCAAATTATAATGTATGATTTTTTTCATCTAAGTCTTATTACATAAAATATGTAGTAAAATTAGAGACCTAGAATTATTCATCAGTATTAAAATAATGTCTTAGGATTCATTCATTCATTACGGCATTTAAATGCCATAAACATTTATCTAATTTTAGAGTCTTGTTGAAATCAATTGTTTTTAAATAAAGTAATTATATTCTTTTTTGGCAGACAGACATTTGGCGGATTCAATCTATAATTCTTGGGTAATGAAAAGTAATGATGCCAATTATAATAATCCCTATATTACATTGAAGAAATTAACCATTTTCATGCAACAAATCTGGTTAGTACCTTAAGTGGCATATTATATAGCTTTTGAATTAACATTGGTATTGGAGAGATAGTAGTGGTAAATACTTATACCATCCCCACCCAAAATGAGCTAATTATCATATGTTGCAATGGTTCTTTTAAATTATTGGTTACTTAGCTAATTTTAGTAAGCAAGCTCACTTAAATTCCTTAATAAGTGAATTAATCTATGTTATGCATAAAAATGCAGAGTTTTGCAAGGACGGAAAAGGATAGCAAGGCAATAATAAGAATGAGTCTAATATGTTTTTATAATATTAATAGTAAGTATTTTAAAATTTTAGTTTATCTTTTTATGTGTGCACAATGTTATGCCCTGAAGCATACTTGATGGGATTTGTAAGGTGATCTTTCTTTCTGTTTTTATCTCTCTCTCTTTCTTTCTCTCTCTCCATATATATATATATGTGTATGTGTGTGTGTATACACATACAAACATATATACATTTATACATGTATACTGGATGATCTTAGTAATTCTGTTTAATTTATTTAAATCATGCCCAGAAATTTGTCTTAATTAAAAATTATTTTAAGACTAAATAAGTAGCTTTATTCAAAGAATTATTATGAAACTGTAGTGATATTTGAACTCCTGATTTTGGAATTCAAGTATTTATTTAGATATATCAAGAACTACAAGCTTTTTGGTTTACTTATCCAGATGTTCCATGATTTTTTTTCTTTTGTCTAAATTATCAAGTTAAGACTCTTCATTTTCAATTTGGATATAAAAGATAGATCCATCAGTAATTAAAGATTTTTCTTTGTTATTTTTTAACATAACAATGGTACTCAAAGCTATAACATTATAGCATGGGTCAGTCCACATCTTGGTAGCTGCAGAAGGTTGGTTAACAGCTAAATGAGCAGGGTCCTTAGAGCCCCATTCCAAAAGGTAAAAGGTGAGAGGTGAAAGCTTAAGAAAGAGGTGACGCTGTAACAGAGCTTTTGTTCACATTGCAGATCATGGAGGCTTAATACACTTATTCTCTGTGCTTGGGTTTTTAAGTACTTTAACTTTGCAGTTTCAGCTTTGGAAATAACGTGTGGGTCCATGCAGGCTGCTAATGAGTTGATAGAAAAAAGAAACTCTGGACCAGAGTGAGCTATCAGCCTATCTACATTTTGAGCCCTAAGTTAATTTTCTTTTGAAAAATCTTCATTATTATTGAACTTGAATACAAGCAAAGCCTAAGGATATTTAACATAATAAATATAAGCATATTTTAAAATTTCTAGAAAGATTTCTTGGGACAACTATAATCATAGGTATTACTCTTACCTTTCATTAGAACTTGGAAAAGTTTGGAGGATAGAAACCTGTTTAATATATTATGTTGATGAATATTTTCTAAGATTACTTATGCCTAAGGCACAAAATATATATTTTTGAGTATTTTTTCCCTTGGTAAAGGTAGATATATGTACACAGGGCCACTGTGTGGCACAGCCCCAACCCCAAAGCCAAAGAGTGGCATTCCCATCTTATTCTATTGAGGAGCTGCCTTCCTGCAGCCCCACTATAGGGGCATCAGGGGCATGGACTACAACTTGAAGGAGCTTCTTGGAGTCATGCAGTGGGCAGCCCTATATATTAGTTGGACATGAATGCCCAACTAATTAATTTCTTTTTTAACAGAAGCTAATGGATACTGTTTCCTATATAGTGGCTTTTAACATTACTGTAAACTTGCTTAGAAGATTATGGTTACTTTATTTACATAAAACAGAAGATAATGTGTCTGTTGGCATATTTGTTATCAAAATACTAAGAATATCCCTGTCTTGAATAACAAAGTGCTTTATGTCAACATACAAGTCAA